GTACGTCGTACGTACGTACTACTACTACTACTCTCTCTCTCTCTCTCTCTCTCTCTCTCTCTCTCTCTCTCTCTCTCTCTCTCTCTCTTCGTATTTAAACGCCGTACACCGAGAAACGAAACGAAACGAAACGAAAACGAAACAATTTTTCCTCTGGAAACTGGATACGCGCATGTATAAAATTTGGCTCGCACGTACTTCTTACTAAAAAGTTAACGGTTTGGAGGGGGGGGGACCCATATTCCGGTGAGAGGAAGAGAGAGAGACGAGGACGCGTGGCCGCGGAGAGCCGAGCCGAGTCCGCGAGATTGTTAGAACGCTTGCGTGGTGACGTCACGTGAATCGATCGGTCGGCGGGGAATCCGGTGGCGCGATCTGGCGGCGACTTCGGCCAAGCTGGCAGGGCGGCTTAAGGCGCCACCAAGGGAGCTAGGTTGTTGCGCGACAGCTGAGGAGGGCGCGGAGGGCTCTGTTCTCGGGGGTTGGTTTCGCGATATGGAGGGAGGGAGTGAGGGGGAGAGAGAGGGAACGATTCGTAGCGTAGCGCGTAGTGACGAGAGTGGGGAGAATATCGTCGAGAACGAACGAACGAACGAACGAACGAACGAGCGAGCGAACGAACGAAACGAACTACGTACATACACGAAGCACGGAAAGTGGTGGTTAGCGATAGTTCTCCGGGGACGGAAGAACCGGCTACTCTTCTCGTCCGCTCTTACTTTTTCCCCGTTCGGTGGATTCGGCGCGGATTAATATACACGCGAACAAGCAGGGACGAGGGCACGCTCGAAATCGACGATATCGTCGTGATGTCTCGCGGAAACACCTCGGCCGCGTGAGGTGGAGAGTGTACGCGTTAAGAAACGTCGTCGAGTGGACGTCGTCCTGTGCTAAGGAGGAGGAGGAGGAGGAGGAGGAGGAGGAGAGGAGAGGAAAGGAAGGAAGGAGAGGAGCCACGATTTCGAGACGCAAGTCCAGGGTAAAACTCTTTCGTTGCGTTTCGTCTTTTTCCATCGATTCTATCCCCTTCTCATCGACCGATCGTAAATATATCGGCACACGTTCGATGTCAAGGTTAGGAAAGGTTTTGGGGGATGAATGACCGGCCCACGAGTCGTGTTATTTTCGCGAGCGGATTTTTTAATTTTACAATTTTCGTTTCTCGATGATCATCTCGGGCGACGAGGTATCGCGAGTGGTTTGAGATTAAAATTATCCCAACGATTATTTTTCTTTCAATTTCTTAACCGAGTGAAAAAATCATCGAAAAGTCATCATCGATTTTTTTTTTTTTTCCTTAGAAACATTAATTATCGTTTAATTTCGTTGGAATAAATATTTTTCCATCGTTCTATATTTTCCGCCGGACGAACGAGGCAAAGATATTAATCTAGAGTTATCCGTTAAGAGGATATCCGTTTACGTTATACGAACGACGAGTTATACCGAGAACAAGAAATGTTATCGAAAGGAAAAGCGAAACGAATCCAATCTTAAAATCGATCGAAGACAGCGTGCCTAACTTTCCCCTTTTTGTCTTTACTTTCTCCTCAGTCCATTTCTCTTCGCCCCGAATTAAAATTATTCCCAATTACGCTTCTGAAAATTCGTATCTTCTCGTTCACGGGAGAATCGTCATTTTAAATCTTTCATCATCGAACGCAGGGGAGCCATAAATCGCTCAACGAGCGAAAACCCCGATCGAAGGAATCTCGCGAAGAAACGTTGGAAAAGCGTTGTTGTCAGAAGCGCGGCGTTTAATCGCATTATACATCGTGTCAGAGCCTCGAACTCGACTACACTGCGCTCACGTAAGCATCGTAATCCCAATCGTACGCGCGTGATTCGCGAATTATTAATCGTTCGAGCAGTTGGACGTGCACGGAAATTCGTTGCTCGTCTAAACGCGAGGTAAACACACATGGGTGGAGGGGGGCTGAGGACCAACGTCGCAAGCGTCGACTCGCACTACTTACGAGCTAATTAGCCGTCGCCGCCCACCTACGAGATTCTCGAGAATATTTCGCGTCAGCTTAACAACCGCTATTGATTCCGTTCGCCTCCTTCGATGTCCTCTTCTTCTCTATCCTTTATTTATACGTTCGATAACAGGGACAATTCTTTTGTAAATTATTATATATTTGTAAATTATCGCGAACTGGAGAAAGGGAGGGGATAAAGTTTGTAATCTTATAATCGACGACAATCGCGAGAACGTGTCTGTCGTCGTGCACACGAAGAGAATGGGAGCGGAAAGCGCGGACAGCGGCTGATCGATTTAGAACGAACGGGTTGCAGGAGAGAGAGAAAGAGAGAGACGTGGTCGGTCGTCGACGGATCGAAACGGACTCGTCGTCGATCTAATCCCGCTAATAGACCAATTTCTATACGATTCCAATCCGTAGCTTGACACGATTCATCCACCGATTCGCGGTGGAAAAAGCGCCAATCCCCGCTTTTTCAACCGCCTCCAGCTTTCTGTCAGAGATTTCTTACAAAAAAAATCCTACCGCGCTGCCATTATCCGTATTTTATATTCCACGTGTATAGTCGAAGCAGTAGATACTACTGCAAATAGAAAACCTCTCTCTCTCTCTCTCTCTTACAAGTCTCTTCTCGTGAAAAGAAGCTCGAGATATAATCGAACATATAAGAGAGAGAGAGAGAGACGATATTGCATTTATTATTATGATCGTCGATACCGTTGGTCGAAAGAAAAAAAAAAAAAAAAAGGAAAAGAAAAAGGGAGAAAACATTGAGGAGAATCCGCGTGTGCTTTTTTTAGATACGTGGGCGGTTCGAGGCGAGAGTTGTCAGGGGTGAAGGAACTGGTGACCTCGAGGAGGGTGCAGAAGAGACCCTCGGCGAACGTCGTAAGGTCGGATGGAGGTTGCATCGGGGGCAGTCCAGGAAGCGGCGGTGTGATCGCGGCCGGTTTGCTGGGCGGGTGCAGCGGCGGCAACGACGCCTTAGCCGAGTTAACCATCGAGGACCTGGCATCTATTCCCGCCGGAAATCACACCTCCGCCAATCACACAGGCCATTCCTCTCATCACAAGGTCAGCGAACTTTGCTAAATCGATATTCATCTCCTTTAAATATAACCCGCCGGGGGATAACGATGGGAGAAACTTTGTTGATTTAATTTTATATATATATATATATGTGTGTGTGTGTGTTATTTACTTTTTCGATTAGAACGTTTTTTCAAAAGATACTTTTCGAAATGAAACAACAATGTTCGAACCGAGGTAGATGATTCTATTTCGGTGGGATGATGCTAGAGAGCGCTTAAATTCTCCTCCGAGTAACAGCTTACGCGAGCTTGCTTTTCTCCCTTTGTTCGTACGCCCCCGTTCGTACGCTCATTTCCGATCGAAGTAATCCGCCAATCGCGTGTTTCGTTAAACCGTGTAAACAGGACCCGCCGATACGTGTCAATTAAGGTTTTATTATCAGTCGGTTGACACCGAGTTGATCGAGTTGTAAACACGGGTGACGATTCAGCTTAAATTACGAATTACGACAACTGGGATCGTTTATATCGAATACGTATACAAAATTAATAACGTGAATGATTAATGTGGCGAGAGTATAGAAAAGTAGAACCGAATAATACAAAGGCTACTCGACGTAGCTGTAATAATTATAAATCGAGACGTATTACGTTTCGTTGCCTAATTATTCAATGTGCGGTCTCGCCGAAACACGCATAAGCCCGGATGCGAGTCGAAGCGCAAACAATGAAATTACAAAGCGTTTCGCCTCTCCATACGCGTGTGCGTGTCAGCTGTTGCGTGGCGCAGCTGTCGTATACCACTACTAGCTGGTTCATTTTAAATGTTCCACGCACGATCCATCGGAAATCGACTTATCGTGAAAATTGAATTAAAAGGTGGCGGCTTTAACGATTCACAAATCGAATCAAAGTCGAAACTCGTTGCCAATGCTTGTCACAAACTTGTTACGAAACGATACTACTTTATTATTTCCGCCTTTAATATATTTATCTATTTATTTATCGCGCCCGGCTTTTTCCACGACGAAATTTTATCATCGTGGACGACAATAATATGTCACGAGACTAGAAAAAAAAAAATTCGAAGGTAGAAATATTTTCACATCATATTCGCGTTTAAACGGGTGCAAAAATTTCTCGCACGTTAATTACATCCAACGTCGAAGGTTAGACGAGAATCTCTCTTCGAGGAGCAATTTTTCTAGGTTATCCGTACCCTTTCAAACTTTAGGGCCTATTCTTCCAATTTTTCTTTTTTCCATTCGACCGGTCCATCGATTTCTCCCTTCCACTGTCTTTTCAATTCGACTCGTTCCTCGCGTTTATTTTTCTTCTCTGTTATTAATCCTCCTCTTAGCATCGCGGTTCGCTGTAACACCGTGCACGTCGCGTCACTCGCATCTGACCCCCTTTTCCCCTAATAGCCCCATTCACGGTGGCTTCTCTTTTTCTCCGCGTGCAGCGCCGTATGTCGTCGGAAGTTTAGAATGTCTCGCGTACACGCGTGCAACCATCCAACGAATAAAGAGGCTCGCAGGACCGATAACTCTCGTATACGGAACAAAGGGGAAAAAGTTGTTGAAACTCTTCCTTATCCACTCTCATTTCCTTCTCGATATATTTTTCCAACGTGTTTGTCATTTTCCTTCTTTTCTTTCGCAAGTTCGAAACGTTTGACGTACAAATTTTACGTTACCGATAAATTTTTGAATTTATATCGTCCGTTCTCTCCAAGATGAAGGATTTATCGAATGTTTCGAGCGCGAAAAAGGTCGCACCCGATACACGGTGCTCGCGTGAAACGAAAAGGAACGGATTGGAAAGAAGGAGAAGGATTAGTGCACGCGTCGCTATGAGTTATGCAGCCGGGTCACGGCAGGTCGTCGAATGGAATCGATATCTGCTCGGTAAAATAATAACCGTTCTCTTTCTCTCGTCTGTCCTTCGCCCTTTCGCTCTCTCTTTTTCTCTTTCGTTCGTAGGCAACAGTGACCGCGAACAAAACTCTCTCGCTTCGAGCCATTTTCACCTTGCTTCTATTTATCACCGATAGATGGTTCACCGATCGTTCATCCATCTTCGACCGTGGCTCGATTCGACTAATTAGAAGAAGCTATTTTCGTTTCTTTTCCACGCATTGATCGTAACGTAGATTAACGCGTCGCTCGAAATCGAACAAAATTTCCACGAGATGCATTTCCCTTCGAATTATCTTACCTTTAGAATTTAAATTTTAAATTTCGTTCGCTTCTTTTGATTCGCGACGAGAATCAAAAGACCCTTTTCCTTTTTATCTAACGCGTTGTTCTCACGCGTTCAATCGAATACGATGGATGAAGGCCGTGCATTCTTCTTTTTTCACGATTACTCGAATCTTGCTATACGAATATCTTGTTCGAGATATACATACGTGAGCACAATGATTAAATATAAAAATTGCTCGTTATTCTTACTACTGATTGTTGCTCAACGAGCAACCTAATTTTCATCGAAACTCGGAAAATGTTCTGGCTTCAAACGCAAACAGATTTCAACCGATAATTCATTATCGGTTTTCATGCATTCGTCGACTATCAACTGATTCGTCATCCAGAGTTGGAAATCGACTGTAAAAAAAAAAAAAACAAGATCGAATTATGTTATAAATGAAAAATAATATGCAATGATTTTTTAATCTTTGATCGTAACGGAGAGAATCGGGTTAAAGAAAAGTTGTTACGACATATAATACGATAATATAATATATCCTCTCTTTCTGAAAAGTTAGCTTCCCCCTACGGGCGATAATCCTCGCGAAGGATAATCCTCGACTTTCCTTTCCTCGAGTTGAAAATCTCCGAAACGTAATCAGTTTCCATCCAACGTTCCTTTTTCGACTTCCCTGCCGCTCTCTCGCTTTTATCCTCTCCGGAGAAGGGGGAAGGCGATGGGGTGTGGCTTGCATGCCATGCTTATCACTTCCCGAAACAACCTTCCTTTTATTCCTCTCCTTTCGAACGTAAATGTCGCCTTGTTCCAATTTTTTCTTCTTTCTTTCTCTTTCTTTTTTTTTTTTTCTTTGATAATCTTTGAAAACGCGTTTATTAATCCTTTATTTACGTTTAGATTTATTATTAACCCTTTAAAGTGCTGTACTTTTAACACAGCAGATCGCTCTAAAAAAACGAAAAAAAAAAAATATTTTACCAAAATCAAAATCATAATGCTAGACGATATGATTCTGATTATTTTATAAATTTCGAGAAGTGTACAAAATAAGAATCCTAAAATCTCAAAATTTTATCGCTATATTCGTCAACATTTTGTTCAACGCGCCTTTTTCTCGAGGAACTATAAGAGGTAGAAGGTTAAAAGGATAAAAGCACTTCGACAAAGTATGCATTTCATAATCGACGATAAGAAAAATAAAATGAAAATAAGTATATACGTTCTAATTTTAAATCATATATTATCGAAGTGATATTCGATTTTACAAGATTCTTTTTATCATATTTATTTTATTTTTATTTTAATGATACATAAGCCACAGCCGATATTAGCAAAAATTAACATGTTATTCGTACACCAGAATCAGATTCTTTTACTTCTTTATAACGAAGAAAGGAGATAGATTTTCAAATACATAACAAATAACAAGACTATGTCACCAGATAGTCGCCATCCTACATTTTATTATATATTATATTATTATACGCGTATTTACATTAGTAAATATACGTATAATATAATTACATTCTAGGGACTCTTGTTACTTGATTGGTAACCTTGTCAAATAAAATACGAGTGTAAACAGATTCGATGATATTTTTTGGGAGAGCCTGTAGAACCGGTGGAGAGGTAGTATTCGGTAGCCAGGCGTTAGTGAGCTGTATGTATCGTGGTGTAAAGTGGGGGGGAGGGCCGGTGAGCAATGGATCGTCGACCCTCGCACTCGCCAGTTAACGTTCGTCCGACTCGTGAAAACGTTCGCATCGAACGAAAGCGTAGAATGTCGTGCGACGATCCTCCTTCTCCCCTCTGCCTTCTGTGTTCAGCCTAGCTTTCGAGATGAACCGTTTCTTCCACGTGGATATTTCGTATCGTTTCAAAACGAATGTTTACATGTACGGTATATGCTTGCGGTTTCGTTTCGTCCGCGAACGTTTTTTTGCGGCCTCTCGTGTTTTTTCGACGTTGCCAATAAGAAGCGATGTCCATGTTTACGCGACAGGAATCAAACATCTCCGCGCTGCTTTTCTTCTTCTGAAAAACTGTTACCAAATATCTGGTGTTGAATAGGCGAGATTATACGTGCAATTTAACCGTGTAAAATTTCGAAACGACATCTCGATCGAACGACATGTCGAGAGGTATTTGAAACGTTAACGTATCGAGCGAGCAGTGTCTGAAACAAATAGGCGTCCCTGTATGTTAAATCGCACTAGTCGTCGAGGGTCGTAACAAGGGTGGCTCGAGGGCTATCCCTTAATTATCCCGTGCAATGACGCATTCGACGTTCACACAGGTATCTCGCCCTTATCGATCCTTTGAAAACTTGCGTGGACACGTGATTATGGACGGTTTCGCGCGGTTCAGAACCGCGTGTTTTTTTTCCAATCGATGAATTACGATCGAATTATCGCGTTGCCGTGCGATTAACGCGATAATCGTTCGACTCGATTGCTGTTACGGATAATGATTCGAATATAGAATACAATCGAAGTGGACGAGGAATTTAAATGGCGATAGAAATACGTCAACGTTTAAATAAATGGTAAGTTTCGATCTGTATCGAAAGAATTAGAAAAATTTATCGAAAAAAAAAAATGTTCTAGTTATCACTCGTTATAACAAGTCTATAATTTAGCTCTCAATACAATAACGTTCACCGCGTTAAAAAAAAAGGACACGAGGGGGATTTCTGAAAATAATCGAGGGGGGAAAGAATGAAAAATTCTCGACGAAAAAAAAACCCCGTCTCGCGCTTGAAAGAAAGAAACGTTCGTTTGAATTTTCGATATACTGGCCGAAATATTTAATTTAACTCCTCCCGTTGATCGTGATGCAAGCTCGAAAATTGGCTTCGACTCGATCTCGGCCGAGTCGGCACGCTTTTGCAGAGGGCGGTGAGAGAAAAAGTCGCGATTCGTGACCCACGGGGGATCTTTTGTCGTGGCCTTCTCGGACTGCGTTTACGATCTGGGTAGTAAAAAAAACCTGAGGTAGCGTTTCTACCCCCATGAGTCACTTGGTATACACGTACGTAACGTGGTGTAACGTCGCGTGAACAGAGGGAGAGATAGAGAGAGAGATGGATTGGAAAGAGCCGAGATCAATGACTCGTTTTATTTTACTTTCGTCGATTCGTTGATTTGAAACCTTTTTTTTCCCTTGCATTCGTGTGTTTCGCTATTGATTTTGTTCGCATTTATTTTCAAAAATATCTTTGAGAATAGAGAAAGATAAGAAGTAAAAGACAATATAAATTTCTTTATAGTTATTGTGTATATATATTGGGGACTGGTTTGAACGATATCGTACAATGTAAAACTGTAAAATATTTTTTCAATACTTGTACATACATTTTTACTTTTTTGATTGTTTATTTTTCCGTGTCCTATGAGTTTTTTCCAATTTAGAAGTTTTATTTATTTTTTAAAAATCAAAATATAAATATACATATGTCATATAGATTTTCATTGATCGAGGCATCGAGATTTGTTTATTTTTTAAATTTTTTCTGCTAAAACGATAAGTTTTAACTCGTAATATATTCCCAGAAAAATGTTTTCATTTGAATTCCAAGTCGATCGTAACTTTCTTAAATATAAATACAAGTGCAAACAGTTAAAGATTCGTTCAAAGATAGTATCCAACGAAAGAAATCTTCCAATGTCTAATTTAATCGTGAATAATTTTTTTTCGCAAAAAAGATTTCTTTCCGATTTCAAAGCTTTTCTAATTTTGATTAGATTTGAAATTGGAAAAGGGAGAAATATTCGAGATATTAAATCGTTGGAGAATCGAGCGGATAAAAGTCGGTTTGCCAGTGTTTACACCCCTTGGAGGAGCCGCCGTAGCGGCGCCCCGTTCTGAATCATGCTACGAGGGTTCCTCCGACCGCGCGGGCAAACCTCCTCGAGAATCGATAGTAGCGAAATCAACTTTACCGGAAGTCCTTGACCCAGGTCGCGAGGGTTCAATTGCGCCGACATCGATATCTCCTTAACCCTTTCGCCACTACGGCCGACTTCTCCGCCAAAAATATGCACGGTACTCGAGAAAGATAGTCAACGTCTTCGACGATGTTTATCGAGAAAAAAAAGATTGACGATAAAAAGAAAATATCGATGCTCTACGTTTCCTTAGAGAAAGATAATCGACTTCAATCTCTCGTACGATGCGCGGCATCTTATGCAAACTAACTATAGTCACCTATTTATTGGCAACTTGTGCAGAGTGACTAGAGCCGGGTGTAGTATCTCAGTGACATTTTATGCAGAGCGATTATAGTCAACCATAGTATTCCAGTGACATCTTATGACGCAGAGCGACTATAAACGCTCATAATATTTCATGGGCATCTTGTGCAGAATGACTATAGTCGACCGTAGTATCTCACCGGCATCTTATGCAGAGCGATTATAGTCACCCGTAATATCCTCAGTGGCATCTTATGCAGAATAATTATAGTCATGGTAGCGAAAGAATATCTTATGCAGAGTGACTACAATCAGCAAGTATCTTAGTGGCATCTTGTGCAGAGAGATTATAGTCATCTGTTGTATTTCATTGGCATCTTATGCAGACTATAGTCGTGATATTTCATTGGCATCTTATGCAGAGCGATTATAGTCGCCCATAGTATCTCAGTGGCATCTTGCAGAGCGATTATAGTCGCTCATAATATCTCGGTGGAATCTTATGCAGAGTGACTATAGTCGCCAGTAATATCTCACTGACATCTTGTGCAGAGCGACTATAGTCGTCTGTAGTACGTCAATAGCGCTCTTATGCAGACTATAGTCGTAATATCTCAATGGCATCTTGCAGAGCGACTATAGTCGCCCATAATATCTCGGTGGCATCTTATGCAAAGTGACTATAATCGGCCGTAGTGTCTCACTGGCATCTTGTGCAGAGCGACTATTATAGTCGTCTGTAGTATATCAATAGCGCTCTTATGCAGACTATAGTCGCCTGTAATATCTCACTGGCATCTTGCAGAGCGATTATAGTCGCCCGTAATACCTTGTGCATCTTGTGCACAGCGATTATAGTCATCCGTAGTACGTCAATAGCGCTCTTATGCAAGCTATAGTCGCCCGTAATACTTCAATGGCATCTTATGCAAAGCGATTATAGTCAGCCGTAGTTATCTCAGCGGCAGAGCAACTATAGTCGGCCATAGTTATCTCGGTGGCATCTTATGCAGAGCAACTATAATTGTCTACAGTACATCAATATAGCGCTCTTATGCAGATTATAGTCGCCTGTAATATCTCACTGGCATCTTGCAGAGCGATTATAGTCGCTCATAATACCTTGTGCATCTTATGCAAAGCGATTATAGTCATCCGTAGTACGTCAATAGCGCTCTTATGCAAGCTATAGTCGCCCGTAATACTTCAATGGCATCTTATGCAAAGCGATTATAGTCAGCTGTAGTTATCTCAGCGGCAGAGCAACTATAGTCGGCCATAGTTATCTCGGTGGCATCTTATGCAGAGCAACTATAATTGTCTACAGTACATCAATATAGCGCTCTTATGCAGACTATAGTCGCCTGTAATATCTCACTGGCATCTTGCAGAGCGATTATAGTCGCCCGTAATACCTTGTGCATCTTGTGCACAGCGATTATAGTCATCCGTAGTACGTCAATAGCGCTCTTATGCAAGCTATAGTCGCCCGTAATACTTCAATGGCATCTTATGCAAAGCGATTATAGTCAGCCGTAGTTATCTCAGCGGCAGAGCAACTATAGTCGGCCATAGTTATCTCGGTGGCATCTTATGCAGAGCAACTATAATTGTCTACAGTACATCAATATAGCGCTTTTATGCAGACTGTAGACGCCCGTAATACCTCATTGGCATCTTGTGCAGAGCGATTATAGTATCGACCATAGTATCTCTTGTGCGACTGTAATCGTTCGTAGTATTCTCAATGGCATCATTTTATGCGATGAGATGACTATTTGTCGAGAATTAATTGAAAAAGAAAAAAGAAATTTGTTTTTATTTTTTTTTTGTAACAGAGGGTGCCGGGTGGTGGAGGCGTGATTGTGGGGGGTGGCGGTAATTCGGCCACCCCCCAAGGTGCACAGCAGGGCAGCAACCTGGTGTATCGGGTGGTGAGCTCGAGACATCCTGGAAGCGGGCATCATCCGCACGTGAAAAAGTCGGACAGCTCTCAGCAAACCGACAACTCGGCGTTCAAGCATCAGCAGCAACCGGGTTTGAACTCGAGCTCGGCGACCAACAGCAGCTCGAACAGCCAGCAATGGAAGAAATATATCGAGGCTGGGGCTGCGAGGGATCGGGAGAGAGACAAGGAGGGCGCGCCTCCGAGTCCTAGTCCCTCCAGGCGATCTCAGGTGAAACATTTTTCTAACGGTACTTTTTACTTTCGTACTTTCGGTGGATGGGCAAAATTTTAACAATCGAATAAATCGTTCAAATAATTGTACTTTCGAACGAATAAATGTTATTCCAGCGTTTTAACCAGCAAATTGCTCGAAGTAACTTTATTTTCTATAACTTACTGGTTAGCTTTTCGCCGGTTAACGGATAAGTTTGATGAGAATTAACAAGCGATGCTTGTCGTATGATGTATTAAAGAAATAATAATTCGCTTCGAACGATCATCAAATGATAATTCATCGTATTAAATTTATCCAGCAATTCGAAACGTAATAATAATCGGTCGAGATTATATAGGAAAAGCGGATCGATTGTAACAGCTACGAATAAATGTTGTTCGAGCATTTTAACGAGTAAATTATTCGAGATTTTTAACCAGCTACTTTTTCAACTACTCGTGTTGATATCCAACTCTTGTCTATCGTAGCTCCGCTCCGCGGTATCGATTTTTCGAATGCCAGGTTCATTCACACGGATCTTTGAATTTCCTAGTTTCAGTCGTGGTTACTTCGTACTGAAAACTTCAATATTGTTAAATAAACATGTCTGATAGAAAACAAGAAGTTTTCGCTCAGTTACGAAATCTAATCGCCTCTGTTTGCAAAAGTAATCAAAGTGCCGTCATATAAAATATAACTTTTTTTCTAAGAGTGGTGTTCGTAAAATTTACACTCATCTCGACGTACTTTAACGATATTTAATATCTATATAATAGACGGCGTCATGAATGTAGATAAATACATTGATATCCCGAATGAAAATCTAGAAGAATGAAAACGAAGCAAATTAGAAAATTATAAAGTACATATATTAGAAAACGCAGGGAAACGTACTAACAAGCAAATATTTTTGGAAGAATCGCAATTGAAAGTCGAACAAATTGACGAAAACTTAGAAAAACTCGGAGGCCATTAATAAAAGATTCCAAATTATCGAATCTTTCTCATAAAATATACATAAAAGTGTCCACTCGATTTTGTCCACGTTTCGTACAAACGATATAATAAATTATTATTTCTAACATCATTGAAACGAATCACCTTTGCCTAGACTTGGTCCCTTAATTTTCAAGAGTTCGCGTCGAATAATAAGAATTTTTGTCTCAGGAGAAGCATCGGAAGCAGGCCATGGCCGAGTATGCGAACGGCGAGAAGGGGCAGAAAGTTTCATCTGGGACGGGGAGCGGGAAAGTCAGGGGCGTACCTCAAAGTTTCGGCTACGTGAAGAGGCACAGCGCCGGCACCAGCCCGAGCCCGAACGGAGTTCAAAATGGCGGCAAGGACTCGGCGAGGACCGCCCAAGTCAGCGCCGTTCCAAGGACGAAGGTGCGTTGCAAACGTCCACCCGTTTCCCAAGCGTCTATCATCTCGTCGTTTCAGGTCAAAGTATCGGGCGGCACGCAAACGTGCACCACCGAGCTCCAGGCCAACTCGTCGCCGAGCCAGGCCGGCCACCATTACAAGAGCTACAGCCTGACCGGGCCGAGCGCCAGCCAGCTGTCCCAGTCGGTGCGCGACCGGCTCATGCTCGGCTCCCAGAGCCTGCCCAAACCCGGCAGCCCCGAGTTCACCGCGCTGTTCGCGTCCGCCCATCACCGGGAGCGCGGCTCAACAGCCGCCCCAACCGCCGCCTCGTTCTCGCCGCGGGTGCTCAAACCGTCGGACGGAAGCCTGAGCGACACGTGCAGCAATTACGCGGCCCCCGACCTCCAGGGTTATTACGCGCCCAACAGCCCGTACACCACGTCCTGGATGAGGCACAGCAACACGTACACGCCGAGCGGCCGTTCCCAAGGTGGCGGACCTTCTTCGAAGATTTTAATTAAATTTACCGACATTTCCTACCGTCAAATGACCGCTGCAAAAAAAAAAACATTTGTATCTTAGCGCTCCGCGCGTTTCTCTGCCTGCGCAGTTTTTTGGACCGCCCGAGATAGAGGATAGGTCTTTCTGCGTAATTGTTGGTTTCTTTTGTAATTTCATTTACCACATTCGTCGGTGAAAAATAATTCAAAGTATTGTAATATCGGCTATGTTCAATATTACGTAGGAAATATTTTGTGGCAATGCATTAAAAGGTATTCTATCTGGAATACAACGAATCTTCGCTTTCAATAATTCTCATTCTTCGTCTCTTTTTGGTAGTCAATAATTTCGCTGTTGTTACTCGAAGTGTCAGAATCGTAATCAACATTGTCTTCCGGATAATATTGTTTTTTTAACTCTTCGAAATGAAATACGTCTTCAGTATCACTCTGAATTCAGCTCTAAACTCATAATATTTATTTTTCTTCGTAACCACAGAAAAGTGGTCAAAAAATGGTACGGACTTAGCACGTTTTAACTACAGATAACAATTGCCGATGTACATGTATGCTAAAAACATTTGCAGCGGAGCGTACGGAGCGTTAATATAGAAACAGATTTTGGCTAATTGGATTCGTATAGCAAAGGATACCAGAAAGAATATTGGGTTGTATCTAGATTATAGAAAAAGTCAATAAGAGACGTGGCGATAATACAGAGTAAATTTCAAAAACGACCGTGGTTAAAAGGTTTAAGGTGTTAAAATCGAAAGACGAGTTTGATTTAATTGGTTGTTTTCCAGGGATGGGATTGTGCGAGGCGGACAGCGTGGAGTCTTTGGGCTCGCATCGGGCCAGCTTGACCCACGCCCGGCTGTTGATACATCAAAGGGACTCGACGGGATCCCCGGCCCCGCCGCGGCTCAACAGAAGCAATTCCATTAGGTAAATGTGATCGAATGTGGTTGATACACGTACAAAACACGGTTCATCGTCACTTCTCACACGGGGAATTTGGTTATAGTATATATAAAATACGATGTCAAGTTTTCTTTC